CCTCACTTCGAATGAATTTACAAACATCAAAAAGGCCTCAAATACAGATTTCAAAAAATATCGGAGGGTTGAGCACGTTAAAACGGAGCAAATTGATATTTTGCAGCATGGGCCGCACGTGCGGTTGTGAGCCCTGCACGTGCAGCAGTTGGTCCCGTACGTACGGCAGTGAAGCCCCGCACGTGCCTTTTTTCTAGTAGCTAAAGACCAAAATCCTCCATTTCCCCGCACGTGCGGCAATTTTTGCCCAGTTTCAGTCCGAAATTTCCAGCAAAACCCCAATTTTGGTAAGTGTTTACAAGGCTTCAAATAGGTCCAAAAAATCATGTAAATAGAAACTTACAATCATATATCAATCTAAATAAATTGGATTCTCAATCCTTAAAACTCATAACTCAATTCCATGAGATTCGAACTTCCACATACCACACACACACACACACACATAACTATTTGTCCACATAGATGAGTCAAGCTTGATAATTGAAGAAATAAGATGTAATTTCCCACCAGATAGTTCAAGTTGAGTCAAAATAACCAATTGATAAGAAGTATCATACTAATTATCCAACATACGCATACAAGATCTCCATTACAACCCTAGGTTACACAATACCAAGGAATTCCTACTCCAAATCAAGAAAAGGGGTTGAACTAGGTGGTTCAAACTTCACCTGGAGCTCCAATCACTAGATACCCTCTTCAAATTTTCCCAATTTCTTCCTTGAAAAACTTTTGCCTCTTCCTCTCAAATTCTTTTCTTTTCTAACTTCCCTCTCTCTCAGGAGATCTTTGATTAAGGCTCTAGGTCAAATGTTTAAAGAGCATTGATATATAATAATATATATAATATAAGGTGAATAAGATGAATCAATCAATTTAATCATTCCAAATCAAAATTTTCACAGAAAATACATATTATTGACCTAAAAAATTCACGCTGATCTCAAATATAAAATCAATTTCAATTATCAAGCCTCTAAGGCGGTCAATTTCTAATCCAAATGTTATAATTGCAACAGATTTTTCTCCTAATAAACAAATATGAATCTATATTCATAAGATTCACTCAATTAAACTTCACTTCATACGAAATTTCACAATAAGCATATAAATGCACAGAATAAGGGACTGAAAGTATACTAGAAAACATGTTACGAGGGTCGGGTATTACACTTTTGGCTTAACTTCAAGAAGCTTTTGCCCATGTTTTAACATGCTTTAGCTCTTGATTTGTATTGTTTTGGTCATGCATGCCATGCTTTGTATAGCTATAGTGCATTCTAGCTTATTAGCTTTGTGTGTCAAGTCCACTAGCATGCTTTACTTGGCCTATTTGAATGATTTGGCATCATTTCATGTGATTTCAGTCCATGTTTCATGCTCATGCACTTGCTTATTTACTCACTCAATGCGTTGGAGGGTTTGCCCCTATATGCCTTAACATGAATTATTGCGTATGCCTTCATGCCTTAGCATTGCGAGCCATCATTTCAATGTGTTTTTAGGGTTATTTTGCTCATGAACATAACTCTGATTTTTGTTGGTTAAGTCATCCCATGCTTCATCTTAATAGGTGTAGTGTAATCCACCTTATTTGCCTTGTAATGCATCATGCCTTATGCCCTTCATGCTAGCATATTTTGGCCTCCTTCCATGCATGTTTTAGACTCATCTTGACATGTTCTAGGACTATTTGGTTTCCCTTGCTATATGCTTCATGTTTTTGCATAGCTATAAGTGTAAGTGCCTATGCTAGCTTCAAAGCTTTGGGTACCATAGCATGCTTTTATTTGTGTTATTTAGATGATTTGGCATCATTTAATACTTCATTTTAGAGCTGCAAGGATCATGGCCGGCTAGTTTTTGGAGCTACAGGTGGCCGGCCGGCCACCTCCCATGGCCGGCCGGCCAAGGGTCAAAAGGGTCAAGGACAATTGCTGGTCGGCCACCCCAAATTGGTGGCCTCCCATGTGTGCATAACACAAATATGTGGTTGACACCCGGAGAATGTGAACCAGGAGAGAGAAAAACCCATTTTTTAGAGGGGTTCAAAAGGGTCAGGCACAATTACTGGTCGGCCACCAAATATTGGTGGCCTCCTAGGTGTGTACAACACAAATATGGGGTTTAGGGTTCAAGAAAGTGGCCCCGGGTTGGTCAACATTGGCTTTCAAGTGAGGAAAACGGGCGTCGGAGAGCGATGAAGAAATAAAGCTGGCTTTTCAGAACAATGGCTGGCCTCCCACCCTCCTACAAGCTTCCTAACTATGAAAATAAGGTCTCCACCAGAAATGAACCAAAACGAATGCAAAACGGAGGTTCGGGGACCGAAACGCGCTGCCCGGGGCCCCGAAAATGGGCTGTTAAGCACCGGAGGTGGCGTTCGACCACGAAGTTGGTCTCTCGGGCCACAGTGTTCCTCAAAAGGGAGGAAATAAGGTGTATACCAAAACCCAGAGCAAACGGAGATGGTTAGGCGGTCCCGAACCGAGGCACACGGCCGTCGACTCCGAAAAATCGAAAACCGAGCTCCAAACTGGAAAAATGGCCTATGGCCACGAAACGTAGCCTATGGCCATTGAGAGATGATCTACGAGACCTCTCCCTCCCTTCAGGAATGGAAAACAGAAAAAACAGAGCCTGGTTCGCAAACTGAGGCAAGACACGAAAGAGTCCGGAAGTCCGGAGGCAAGGCTCGCAGCCGAGACTCTGAAACTTCTAAATGAGCACAATATGCAATATCACCGAGCGCTCAACTAGTAACGTCTGAGTCTTAAGGTCGGTCAAAAATGGGTTTCGATTCGATTGGTCTTGAAATTTTTACCGGTTTGTGGCCAAAAGAGCATTTTTAAAGAAAACAAAGGAATTACGTTTAACTTTCGGGGCTTTCGATCAAAATAGGATGTCATAGTTGAATAATGCTTGGAGAATGAGTTTGGAAAGAAAATGATGTTTTCTTGGACATTAACGCTATTATTTTGCTTAATGTATCTGTTGGAATAAAACCAACATGGTTAGAAATGGACCTTGAGAGGTTACCGGACGTGATTGTGATATGAAAACTAGTGTAGTTGTTCATATTTGATGAGATGTGGAATAGATTGTATTTATCAAAATTTTTAGAATTTAATTGTTTAAATATCTATTTAGAAATATCTATTTTAGGCTATCAGTGGAGGATAGCCATAATGGTTGTAGAAATGCATGAGATTTAGGTAAATTGAACCACATTCCTCATTTGTTGCATTGGACATTGCATTACATTCATTTCATTAGAAATGTATCTGTTTTTTAGAAATGTTTGGAAATATATCTATTTGCGAAAAGATAAATGCTTGGTGAATCTAGGTAAGGGGCGTGGAACCGCGCGGTTAGGTGTCGAGCTTTCTAGTTTACTGGTAAAAATGACCGTGGTAGTGCATTAGGGTCTACTTGCAGACACTCACCTAGAGATTTACAGAGTCTATATTCATGTAACAGATATGGTTTAAAATGAAAATGGTTTATATTTGTTATTGCATCTCAGCATTGCATGCTTTATAAAAAAGAGAGATAAACTGTTTTATCATGAGCATGGCATGAGCATACTTCTCTTTAGTCTTGTCATGGTCCATATGTTGTGTAGTATATCTCTATTGGGCTGTGGCTCACCCTATAAGGGAAACCATTTCAGGTACAGATGATATGTCTCCACCAAGGCACTGACTTGGGAGAACTCGGAGCTGAGGCTCCATTTTTGTTTTATTGTTATTTGTTGAATGTAAGCCCAAGGCTGTATTTGCGTTGAGTTGAAATTTCATTTTGTGTAACCAAGAATGTTTTTGAATAAATTTGTAAGCCTGTAGGGCACTTATTACCTGTTTGGCTTCCACTTCATACTTGTTGTAAAATGCATGCTTGGGATTGGAACTGAGGCATTGAGATGCGAACAGCATGTATTTGGCATTTGGGATTAAATGGAAATGGATGTATGGAATAGTTAGCTATACATATGTGTTTGTCTATTAGGTGGGTTTGTTGTATAAATAGATATACCCTGCCCAATTTTCGGGGCATTACATCACAAATAGAAAAATCCTAATCGGCAATTGACCCTAACGATTCTGCGAAACCGCTCAAATAGGTGCGGGCAGTTCAGGTTTGGCAGTTTTTGCGTAGCCCACTTCCGCCTAGGGCTTACACGTCAACATTTGTCATGAAGTAATTGATGTATTGAAATTTTAATCAATTTTTAATGGGGGTGTTTGGCAAAGGCTATTTTTTGCCTTTTTGGGTTAAAATTCACAAAAGACAAAATAGACTAAAATAGTTAATAAAATAAAATGTCACATCAAACTCATAATCATTTTATTTTTCTCACAAATATTACATTCAATTACAAAACAAATTCAACTACCTTTCCAAACACAAAAATTTTAACCTACTAAAATAACCAAAAATTAAAATAGTCTACTAAAATAGCAACTTTCCAAACACCCACAATGTCAATTTAGTTTTTGCCGTTGTAATTGTATCAATTTTACTTTTTAATTTTTTATAGTCTTAATTTAATTGAATTGATAATATTTGTTAAGAATTTTGACAAAAATCAATGAGAAAATATTTAATTCAAAAGGAAATAGATTATTTTAAATTAGATAGTAACCTCTCAATTATTATAGGAATAGAAATAACCATTTTGATCATCGATTTTAGTTCAATTTCTAAAATAACATTACCAATCAGATTAGATTGACATTATATGAAAAATTTAAGATCAAAATTGATGCAAATAAATTTAGAAGAAACACTGGAGTAATTTGTCCCCAAAAAAATAAATAAAAATAAAAATAAAAATTCAAAGGGTTATTGGAGACGGTTTTGATTGCTTCGGAACCAATCCGTAGATGAGTGAAGCTCAAGTTCACACACTCATTACTTGTATTACCAGGAAACTCCACTTCAATATTTTCCCCTTTTGGTTTGTCCGTTACTTGGACCGTTACGTGGACATCTCTCCCCAATCATAGTGATCCCTCTTAGATTTGCTTCTCCTATATTCCTTTCCCTCTTCATGAACTTTTTCATGGCGCCATTTTCCTGCTTGATTTTCCCGAGAAAATCCTAGTGATATCCTAAGAGAAAACCAAAACAAAACCCACTTTGCAAATTGCATATATCTTGCTGAAGATATTCTATTTCTTCGAATAATAATAATAAAAGTGTTTTCATTATGTCAAAGATTGATGTTCATGTGAGTCTGAACCGGGCGGCACCACCGCAAAGCAGAGTGGATGCCAACTTTCCGGAGGGTTTGAGAGTTCTTGTGGTTGATGACAACGTTGTCTGCCTCAAAGTTGTCGCTGCTCTTCTCAACAAGTGTCGTTATAAAGGTTTCTATTCTCAATCCCATTATATATATAGACTTATATGCTTGAAGATCACAAATTGGGTTTGGTTTATTATTTGAACAAGTTCATAATTCTTGAGGATATGAAAATTTATGTAGAGAGTACTTATAGAATATGATTCTTAGACTTTTTTTTTTTTTTTTGAATTTTAAATGTATATTTATGATCCCTAATTTTAAATGTATACATTGTACGCAACATAACTACAAAGTTACATAAATTGATAATTTCGAATTGTGAACATCTTATTAGGTTGCTTGTGATTTTCCTTTTCTATTTTTAAAATGATTTTGCTAGTTTTGGGTTTGTGAACATAATGGAGTTATAGCATTTTTGTTGTATCTTTACTATGATGTTCTTGGCATCCTTTGCTTTTATCGTTTGATGTCAATGTATTGTTGTTTGTTTATTATAAATAAAGTGCTTTTTTGCTGTTTCAAAAAAAAAAAAGAAAAAAAAGGCAACTTTGGGCAATTGCTCCATTTTTCTCTTTATTTTTAAAGCCAACAGCCAAGGAAGTATAATGTTACTAAATTGTTGGATATTAAAATTTAAAGAAAATTACAAAAGAATTTGAATTTTTTATTTTGTCAATTTAAATTTTAAAATTTAATTTTTTTTAATTTAAACCATCAACCTATTTTGTTAAGTAAAGCGGATTAAAAAAAAAGTAGTATTTTAGTCATCAAACTCAATATATGTGTACATAAAATATATAAAACACTTTTTTTTGTTGATTTTAATGACTAAAATATCTATCATATTTTTCGTTGATTTTACTTATTGGAAATAGGGAGGTAAATGGTTTAGATTGAAAAAGAAATAAAAATTTTATGATTTAAATTGATAAAATTAAAAAATAATGTTTATTTTATTACAATGGTCAAACTAGAGTCCCCCTCAAAATTATCCATTATTGTGGGTTTGACTAGTTCTCGGTTATAAAAACACAAAATGAATTTGAATTTTGTAGTTTGGGGATTAGGCAGAAGATCATGTCTTCCCTATTATGCTTATACTTCTGCACTGCTGGGTGCACTAAGCTGCTGCTGCTGCTGATTTGTGGTTAATTTAAACCAGACCATGTTCTGTTTCTGTGCTTATCTTTGTTGAGTGTTCTGTGTGATTATCTGGAGTACAAAATGGAGTGAGGCAGTGCTGAGTGTTCTGTTCTGCTGCTGGATGCTATTGGAGTCTCATTGATTTGGTGTTGTTTCTTTTTTGCTTGTTCCCTCTTTGGTTGGTTTCTCTCCAACCTCCTGGCTTGAGCTAGCAGATGATTATATAGTCTTCTTGGTGCCAACCTAGTTGGGATTAGGGAGGTATATGATGATGCTTTTTGCTCTTGTCTTCCCTCTTTGTTGACGTATACCAAGATGTATTTTGTTTTTGTTAGCATCAATAAAGAGTTTTTTGCTGATCAAAAGAAAAAAAAAAAAAAAAAAGGTTCATATTCCAATATTTTTATTTAGTTACTCTTACAAAATTTTCAGAGGGAGTTCAATCAAAACATATAAAGCCAAACAAATTGAATTTAATGGACTGTTTCATAGAATTTTTTTCTAAAACTACATTCCTTACTCTAGAGAGTAGAGATACAGAAATCTTGACTATTGAAAGGGTCATTGAACTGTTAGGCCTATTTATTCCAAAATTTTGTGCATTTTGATATGTATGCAGTTACGGTGACAACAAAAGCAACAGAAGCTCTTAAAATGCTGAGGAAGAACAAAGAAAGCTATGATATTGTGATTACTGATGTTATAATGCTTGATATGAACGGTTTCGAGCTTTTGGAGATAATAGGCCTTGAAATGGACATGCCAGTAATAAGTAAGCTCATCATTTCTTAATCAGTATACATTAACTTGGATGAGATTAAATCTTAAACATAAGTTTGGAATTGCAGTGATGTCTGCAAACTATGACCAAGAATTGGTGATGAAGGGGGTAACGCATGGAGCTCGAGACTACCTGATAAAGCCAGTTCGATTGGAAGAAGTGAAGAATATTTGGCAGCATGTGGTCCGGAAAAATCTATTTAATACAATGAAATTTGGCACCATGCAAGCACGAGCAAATCAAAACCCCCCAATTCCATCTTCAAAGAGGCAGAGGGAAAAGAGCAATGAGGAAGAAGAAGAAGAAGAAGAACAAGAACAAGATGATGAAACAAACACTCATTCTAATGAGGAATCTTCTGCTCAGAAGAAGAAGAAGAAGAAGAGGGTAATTTGGACTGCAGTGTTGCATAACAAATTTGTCAATGCTGTTCAGCTACTAGGAGTAGAAAGTAAGTCTTGGATCTTCATTTTATTTTATTTTAAAAACTTAAAAAATTTACACCAGATTGATTCCCAATACATATGGCTTGATACTTCCAATAAGGTTACACTGTAATCCATACTTAATCGTCTTTCAATACCACTATGTAAAACCTTGCTCCTTGCACTAGCTTAGCTGCTAATATCACACAAACGTGACAAAGGTAAAAGTATGTATTGGGGTGTATCCTAACATTATTGGGTCTGTGGTTTTGTACCTTTGCAGAAGCAGTTCCAAAGAAGATACTCCAAATCATGAATGAACCGATGATCCCTCGAAGTAGTGTTGCTAGCCACCTTTACGTGAGTTTGGTCTTTCCATCAAGCTTCCAAGATGGCATTCTAGGCTATGAGTCCTCTGTTTTCTATATCCTGCATCATGAACTAGTCAGATATGTAATGCAAGTGAAACTAAACTGTGATTCTTTAACTGTTTGTTTTTTGATACTCCTTTTTCTTGATTGCAGAGGTGCAGAAATGCCTTAAGGAAGGAGAACACAAAAGCTAAAATGAGCCAAGAAAGCAAGGACAATATCGATTCAAACAAAACAAACGGGCTTCTATCCGATACAATCACCACATCTTGTATTAATCAAGGCCTAAACACCATCAATCATCACAATAGATTTGCAGAACAATACATGAGTACTGGGATCACCTCATTTGGTAGCCGACTTCAAACATTTGGTGCTTCTACATCAAATGCAACACTCCTCCAACAAAACCAACTACCTCCCAAAGTAGTAGCAGATCAAATGCGCCCAACCGTGCTTGGAAGTGTCTCTCCATCTCCATTTTTTGAATTGAATGGGATGAGGTTTCACTCTATTAATTCGGGAGCAAAGATGTTTGATGACAATGTCAAGATGTCTTCTTCTCAGCTTCCTAGCTTTAACACTGGACAATCTGGTCCAAGTGGTATGCCTGTTGGCTTTGGGCCATATTCATCCTTTTCAAATGCTTGGAGTTGCTTCAAGTCAATTGAATCCAATTTTCGACCTGATTCTCTTGCCATGCTGCTTCCATGTTAGTTATTCTCCCTTTATCTTTCTGTTTGGTATATTTCTTTTTATTTTTGTTCCCCAATATCATTGAATTCTGTTTGGTTTTTAGTATTTTGCTAATTTTTTCTTTTTCGACTCCTATATCAATGAAACCAAAATTGAAATAATCCTATAAATTGACAGAATTTCAAGCTTTCAGACCATAAAATAAGAATGTTATATCAATTATTACACTTCAATTTGAGAGCAGATTTCACTGTATGTCCACTTAAAACAAAAGGGTTTCTTCCTTTAATAAATTTTTGATTGATGGAGTTTCAGTAGACACAGTCTTTGCTTTGATTTTATTATTCTTTTACTTGGCATGGATATTTAGTCAGCTACATAGATATGTACTGAGTGAACAATTTTGAGTTTTATAGAATTCATCATTCTGTTGTTTTCCGATTTCAGGGCAACATGAAGGAAGAAATTTAGCTAATCTCAAAGTAAAAGAAGAACCAATTGACTCAATCCAAAAAGGGCAATTTCCCGGATGATGACCTCCTTAGCATTATGGTAAAACAGGCACATTTTTCAGTTGTAATTCCTCTTTTTCAGAATTAGAAATGTCCCCAATCCATTGAAGGACAAACATATTTAGCGATTATTTAAAAAAAAAAATCCCCATGATTGATTATTGGGTCTTTGCTTTTGATTGCCTAGGTATGTCAGTCTTTTCTCAAGTCACACAACCCTAGTACCCATAGACACACACAAGACACTTGTCAAACATATCCAATAAGAGAAAAAGGCTAATTAACATGATCATATGCCTTTTTTAAAATCAATTTTAAACACTATCCCACAAAGGCAGCTTGTGGTACACTAATAACTTCTAAAAGTACCTTCTTTAATTTGATTGATAACATCTTGGGTAATATTTTTTAAATAAATCCTACCATATATACTAAATGGGATTGGACTCCTCAAAGCATGAATCTCTTTCAATCTTAGGAATTACGGCAATGAATGTAGCATTAAGGCCCTTTACAGTTCTCTCATTCTTGTAAAATGCCTAAAACAAAGACCATAACATCCTTTTTAATGATGCTCCAAACCTTCTTGATAAAAGAAAAATTAAACCCATCAGATTGCTTCACTGCTTGCAGCTTCTTCAACAACAGATATCACATTTTACATGTAGCCAATTGGATTTAGACTTGATTGAAAAAATTATTTGGTTAACTTAACAATAAATAAGATTTGATTCCAAAACCACCGTTAGTGATCATTGATGCAGTCATGAATCACACTAGTAATAACTTAAAATTATTCCATTAAAATATCTAACATTTATGATTGATTCCCTTCAACTGCTTATATATGAATCTATATAAACAAGGACTTGTAACTGTTTCTTGACACTTTTTTGGCTTCTGTATTGCAGTTTAGCAGCGATTCAACTCCTAGGTCGTCATCACAGGGCATCCTATTTTAAATTGAAGCTAATTTATGAAAACAAAGAAGAAGAAGATTTGTCGATGCCTACACTGATAGAAGATTTTCCGTGTTCATGATTGTTTAGAGATGCTTTCTATATTGTGAGATTTGAAGATTGATGCTTTCTCTATGGGAAAGCAAATGATAGTTTTTAAAGGGTTTAGACTGTGGTGTGATTTACTGATCGGATAAATCATGATTTATTCTAGATTTCTTTACATTGTTAGATGTCCATAGTACATGCATTAATTCTCTAGGATATATATTTTTAATTTGCCTCATTTTATGGAATTATGGAAGTTGAAAAACATACCATCATAAATCCTTTTTGTGTGGAATCTTAAGTTTTGCTTGTCTGGCGATCTAGTTAAAGGGACAATAGGACTTCTTTTAGGGGTAATTCCTGATGTTTTTGTTGATTTTAATGCTTTAACTGTAATGGAAATGATGTCTACTGGTAAGGTCAAAGTGGTGATTCTAGAATACTATCTAATATTGTTCACGTGTATAAATCTTTATGGGTGGGACAATTTTAACCCATCTTTATTAGGTAGTTAGGAGATAAAGGACGACTTACATAGTGCGTTTTACAGTTCGTATAAAAATAATAATATATGGTATTATGAGACTATATAATGCCATTTTGGGAGGTATTTATAATTGAATCATTTCATTAGGTTGTTGCCAAATTGGGCAAGAGATGATCCTCTCAGTTGCCATTTTAGATAATCAATATGCAAACTTGTGAATCATTTTTTATTTTTTTTAATTGCCTCGTATGTTTAATGCCGGAAGCTGAAGGAGAAATGTTATGATACTACAAGGAAACAGAGCAACATTCATAAACAAAAAATAATAAATAATAAAAGAACAGTTTATTCACCCAAAAAAAACATTCATAAACGAAATTGGGCCATAATAGAATGGGAGAAACACCAATTAGTGTTGTGAAGAAGTGGTTTGGAAATACCCCAGGATCCGGTCAGATGTCCTTGATCCTCTGATTGCTACCTGAAAAAGGGATGAACACTCCGGTCGGGATTGCCGCCCATCCTCAATGTCGGGAATGGAGTTAAGGCCCTGTGCCTTTTTGAATTGCTTCTTAAGGTTTGCAATTTTCACTGCAGTCGGATTGAACTCATCAACATGAAAGGGTTGAGTTCTCTCATTAGGCTGCACCAGGGGTCTGAGCACCTGAGCTTGAGTCAACCTTTCTCGAGGATTCGGACACTGCAAATCTTCAACTGGCGGAAGTGGGTCAAAGTTCGGCTGGGGTCCCAAAGCTGGATGTGAAGCAGATGCCCCAAATGGGCACTGCGTTTCAATACTGGTCTCAGCCTGCATGGCAGTTCCCTGATTCAACGCTAGTATCACGGCCACAAATTCTTCTGAACCCTGTGCCATCACGGGTTTGCTGATGATGTGACTGGTGACTGTCAGATCAGATGAACCAATGAGCCCTGTCTGGCCCTTCTTTGCCTTGCCTTAGCGAAAGAACACTGGTCGCCCTTGAATTGAGTCTCTGACCTAACAAAGTCTATCAGCACTAGTCCAATGTACCCGGGGGATATCAGAGCCTTCTGAAGCTATGGTTCCAGGACTACCTAGCAAAAAGGAAAACAGAGAGCATCACAGCCTGATTTCACGATAACCCATATGAGCAGAGCTGAATGATTGTGCCTCTACAGAATTCTACCCGTAAACTGATACCCTCAGGTAAACTAAATCCTAAAATACTGAACTGGTGCCCGCAGGCCTGATGCCCAAACTTGCAAACTGATACATGCATTCCTGTAGAGACGCACTCTAAAAGCACATAACAAGCAAGTGAGAGCCAAAAACACCCCTATGTTGGGTAGGGTTTCCCTGTCCTATTTTGTCAGGAGCTAGGGTTTCACTACGCACGCAGCGGTTTCAAACAACCTATATCGGGTAAGCA